TTCTACCATGTGTTGCGGTTCAGATCGGAATATCCATCTCGAAGGGACACCGCTAATTGGGCAGAAACGAGGCTTGCCGAGTTACCGCCCATGGGCAGGTTTCCAAGGGACGGATGTTCCGATCCGAACCACAAACATATGTCAGACATTTTTTCTTGCATATTCTGCCATATTATTTCATATTTAAATTTGTTTACCTCAATAAGATATTTGAATATGGAAATTGATTTCATCCATAACAATTTTCTTACAATAGCGTATGAATTTACAACTTTAATGACAACGGCGAAATCAAGTCATCCTAACATATAGTTCCCTTCTAAAATGCACCGAAATGACGTCCTTTTAACGCGGTATCTTCATAATATGCGTTAAAATGACGTTATTGTATGGCTGGCGTCTTATCTGGCATCCTCCATGGAATCTTTAGTTTTGCTCCATAAAAAAAATGTTAGGTTATCAATCAATTACTCTCTCAAAGTTATTGCGTTATTTCAAATCAACAAAAACTTATACCATTTTATGTAAACATGTATATAAAATTATGTTTCAAACAGTTTATCCTCAACATATGATATCAAATTTTGTTGCTTTGAAAACAAACGTTATAAAATGATTACTAACGACTTATAAATGTAACGTGACATTGTTTTTAAAGTTTGTCATCATTAATTGAATATAAGTATTGTAAATATATTGTTTATACATTTTGATCAATGTGTCATGCTAGTGGAATACATTTATGTAAAAATCAAAGTAAAATAACGTTCTCTTGTGTAATGTTATGTAATTTAATTGAATACAGAGGCAAAATTAAATAAATTACTGATCAATCCCCAGGTCTGGCACTGGAACCTATATTCGAATTATGGTGCCGAATTTACAATTTTTGCAGTAAAAACCTTCAAAAGTTATAAAATATTATTTGCGCTCTAAATTCCCAATCGGTCCAGGTTAACGGCAAATATTTCTCACTTAAAGGCATACACATTGTAATAGTCTCAGGAAATAGAATTAATTATATTATCTACATAAGTGAGCTATTGATGCATCATTTTCTGGCTCGGTATTTTCTTCTTTTTTATCCCCCGCCGAAAAGGCGGCGGGGGATATAGTAATAGTCTCCGTCCGTCCGTCCGACCTTCCGGCCTTCCGTCCGTCCTTCCGTCCGATATTTTTGTACAGAGCATATCTCAAAAAGTATTTGAGTTATCAACTTAAAACTTTATAGGTGCATAGATCTCTCTCAGGAGGTGTGCAGTGCACAAGAATGATAACTCTACCTTTCATAATTTTTGAGTTATTGCCCTTTGTTATTTTTCATACCTAACTTTTCACCTGAGTGGAGCATAACTCAAAAGTGTTTGAGATGTCAACATGAAATGTCATAGGTGCATAGATGTTATTGAGGAGGAATGCTGTGCACAAGAATGTTCTTTTTCATACTATTTTGTCCGGAGCTTATCTAAAAACGTATTTAAGGTATCAACTTGAAACTTCATAGCTGGATGGATCTCATTGAGGAGGAGTGCAGTGCACAAGAACGATAACTGTACCCTGCATAATTGTTTTGTTATTGCCCTTTGTTATTTTTCAAAATTAATTTTTGTCCAGAGGATAACTCAAAAGGCCTTTGAGATATCAACATGAAACTTCATAGGTGCATAGATCTATTTCAGGAGGTGTGCAGTGCACAAGAACGATAACTCTACCTTTTATAATTTTTGAGTTATTGCCCTTTGTTCTTTTTCATACTATTTTGTCCGGAGCTTATCTAAAAAAGTATTTAAGGTATCAACTTGAAACTTCATAGCTGGATGGATCTCATTGAGGAGGAGTGCAGTGCACAAAAACGATAACTGTACCCTGCATAATTGTTTTGTTATTGCCCTTTGTTATTTTTCAAAATTAATTTTTGTCCAGAGGATAACTCAAAATGCCTTTGAGATATCAACATGAAACTTCATAGGTGCATAGAGCTATCTCAGGAGGTGTGCAGTGCACAAGAATGATAACTCTACCTTTTATCATTTTTGAGTTATTGCCCTTTGTAATTTTTCATACTTAATTTTTCAATTAAATTTTTTTCTCAAAAAGTATTTGAGGTATCAACTTGAAACTTCATAGGTGGATAGATTTTACTGAGGAGGGATGCAGCACACAAGAATGATAACCTATCCTGCATTATTTTCAGCCATCAGTATTCACATAGGTTTCGAATCTGTAATCACTATAGCCATCAGTTTTCATTACCAAAAGACCTCTTAAAATGGAATTATTCTGCTTTACTACATATACATTCTTCCAATGTGCAAACGATGGCCATGTTGACATGGCTCTTGTTTTTCTTTTTTTTTATAATTTGCTTTTTAATGCTTGAACGTATTGTGATTTATTATTCTTCCATATCAATCAAAGCAAGAATAATTCGTGTTTGAAAACAAACAACAACAAAAACACATGACAACTATACCAAAAGACAATTTTGTACTGTTCACATTCACAAATTTAAATTTTATACAGACGTCTCAATTCGTCTGCATAGTACGTACCCTTTATGGTACGACCTTGCTCAAGTCAATCATGATTGTTCCCTGACTGAACCCATCATCTTTCCTGCTGATGGCTCCTTCTTGAATTTCTTCAGAGGGGGTGAGCTAGGGTGCTTCCACTGCCTGCTCAGGGGTTTTGTTTGGATTCTGGATCGAAGTGATGGACCTATGTGTCATCCTAAGTTACGATCCGGAACATAAAATCAGGTTCATCTTCGTAGCGAGATAAAAGATATATTGAAATGTCAAGCCAGGTCCGTTTCTGGTCGTCAGTCAACTGTCTGGGAACCTTTGACATGCCATAGACATCATTCAGAATTGCCTGAACTGAACCAAAGCTTATACCCACTTCCCTAGCAATGCTTCGCAGATCTCGCATTCTGTCGCAAATGACCAGATCGTCCACAGCTTCGGCAGTTGGTGGCCTCTTTTGGCCAACCAGGCTGCTCATCATATCCAATGCTCTCCATGCCCTTCTTAAATTCAGCAGCCCATTTTTACAGTGCTATAGGAGGGGGATCTGTCCAAGTGTATCAATTAAGTCTTCATGGGTTTCCTTTGAGTACTTACCTTTCTTACAGGGGTACTTAATGACGGCTCTAATTTCAACTTTCTCCATTTGGCCTGAATGACACACCCCTCTCCTGATCAATGTCTGTTTTATGAAACTTTATCTGTGTAAAACCGCGTGTAACTCAGTCAGTAATCTTCAATAAGTTATCGGTATCGACGAATTGTGTGTAAATGTCAGTGTTATGGCTAGAAGTTTATCGGGCCGAGAACTTTTTGATCATACTTCGTTTATATCTATCTCCAAATTGGAGATTATGTGAACTTCTTTTTGGCCGTGGTCCAATTCCATTGTGTACCATGCATCCTTATTTAAGAGATGACCAAAGACAAATATGTCCGCTTGAGCATGTTTTTCCCTGTTTTTGTTATAGTTATATTGTAGCATTATAATGATTCTGTTGCTGCAGATTCAATGTGTCAGCTATTTGCATTCTGTTTGATAATCCATTTGCAGTCTGTTTGATAATCCGTATTTCAAAAAAGATATAAAATGTTGTATTGCTATTCGGTACTGTTAAACTGTTTGTAATATTGTTTCTTTAATGTTTTTATTCCTTCTGACAAAAACATTAAGGGATTAAAATCACGATAATTTTCATACTAATAACGTTCATATGTAATGTGTAAAGGTAGTAAATATGATTATCAAGTAGTTAACAAGACTTCTTCAATATCTTATATGTATAATGGTTCATGGTCTAGCTTGTGCAAGACTTAATTTTGATGGTGTTAGTCAAAGATTTCACACGCATCAGAAAAGTGAAAAGGGTATGACAAACAAAACTTAATGGATTCTAACATGCCAATGAAACTTATTATTGCAAATATTAACATAAAAACTTTTCGCTTTGAATATAACATTTTTATTCAATGATATTTTGTTATAATCATTTGGCAACAACCAATGAAATGGTTGATATCTTTTTATCATTTGACAACGAATTGCGCATTTTTTGTTTATATAAGTATATGATTTACAAATGCAAATATATTAAGGCGATCAGCTTTGCGAGCAGACATACAATTAAAAATTAGCGCATGGAGTAGATACTTATTAATGGTATTTCGTTTCATCAGAGTGTAAAAATATTTTTAAGAAAACAATTCATAAGAGATTACTTTGTTTCAAAACAAAACAATTATATTTTATTGGCTGACTCAATCTTTTTTATAATTCGCACTTTTAACTGTTGAATATATGTATCACAACGTGAACATTGTCGTTTTCTTTTGTATTATACGAGTATATCATACAAATATGGACTTTTAAGCTGGTGAATATGATAGCCGAGGTCAATATTAATTTTGCACTACATATCACATTATTTTTACCAGCTTAAAAGTACATATCTGTTTTATTATAAAATTTATAAATAGCTTTTATATGGCTTATCAAACCTGCCATTGAATATGAATATCTGTCTTCGCTTTTTTTTATTACACATCTGTGATAAAACAGATACGTTACCAGTATCGATCATGTCGATAATAGATATGTGATGAGATAAAAGCAACATAAAAACAAAATTATGTTATTTGGCTCAGTTACAAATAAAGAATCCTTTTAAGCTTTTACTGTTTTCTTCTGTCAATTCAGAGGTAATACCTTTTTGAAAGTGGCAGATATATCTGTAGTAAATGCATAATTATATGTATTTGGCATAATATGGCTTTTAGCCAAAGTTTTATTTACTCATTTATATAATTTTTGAATTTATTGTTGTTGTTACCACAAAGATATTTCAACAATACAGCTACATGTAAATGTTTGAAATGAAATGTGTTATATTCTAGGTAACTTTCATGTTGATATGCATGTGTTTGTACTAAAAGTATAACGAGTCAAAAGAGAAATAAAGTCGTATTTTTTTACAGTTAAAATGTGCAAGATAACGTTTATGCTGTTGTTTCTGCTGACGTCAATCCACACAACAACAGGTAACTTATAATTAATTTCTTTCAAACAAGTAAGAAATTATGTCTTTGTTAATTATTATTTTGTTTATGTTTTATTGTTGTCGTTTGTTAGTGCTCTGCTTGATTGAGTTTTATGCCTGTGTCAGGCCTGACATGGAGTTAGAAATGTTTGGAAATGAATTTACAATCTACAAAATATATGAAAGCTGTTTTGAATATGATTCAAAGTTCTGTTTATTTTAACCAAAGTCGCATGCATTCGAAAGCTATAAGTATCACTCACCTACGATATTCTCTAACATTATCCAAATTATTTTTAATTAGTGGTCAAAGAAAATGTTTAAAGAAAATAATGCGTATTTCTACTATTTCAAATGCTAGTATTTGCAAATCGTATACATTTAGCTGCTAAATTCATAGACCTGCAGACTATTGCAAATAATAAATGGTGATTCTGTTACAATTTTCTTGAAGACATCTTAAAGTAACATTATCACTTGTACCAATAATCAGGTTCCGGGTTTTTGGACATTACTGGAGTAAGACTTGTAGATGGCAATGGTACATTTAGCGGACGTGTTGAGATCAAGGTTGACGGTGTTTGGGGAACAATCTGTGATTACTTGTTTGACATGAACGACGCCAAAGTTATATGCAGAACACTAAATCTGACGTATGTTTATTAAATTTTCTTCAATTCTTTTTCTCTGCTTGTTAAACATGTATTCGCAATATTTTTTTGTATCAGAAAGATATAAATACATCACAAACGAACCCTGCCTTGTCTTTGACTCGAACTGGCGACCGTTCAAAAATATGATGATTTGTATAAGGGCCATTTAATCATCATTCATTTAGGAATTGTAAAACAAATTGTCATGAACATTACTACGGTTGATTTTTTTTTCATTTTGGTCAACAAATGCAATGTTAAGGTCACAAAAGATAATGAAATATACAGATTGTGTTCGGAGCATATCTCCTTTACACAGGGATTCGAATGAAATGTTATAGAAATGTTAACAATTATGAGAAGCGGTGTCATGTACATGAACCAGGTCTCTAGGTTAATGGTTCAGGACACATTTAGGAGTCATTGAAAAGTGTTGTTTGGAGCATTCATCGGGGGATTTAAATGTAACCTGGAAACAAAGTGAGGCGAAGTTTTGCGCGCATAAGCTATGTACTTGCTTTCAAAGTCAAGGGCATATAGAGAGTTCAAAGATAAGATAAAAACAGGAGATGTGTACATGGACCATTTAGTGATCATCTATAGATGGATTGTAACACAAATGATAATTATCATGATTAAAATTGTGACACATGTAATTTAACTTAATATTTTCAAGGCCAAAGTCACTAGAGGTGATGAAATATACAGATATAGTCCCGATATTGCCCAGCGCATATCTCCTATATGCATATCTATTAATCCCCCATCTCTGTCGAAAGCTTTTGTGACGAGTGTTTTATGCGACAATGTTGCACTTGTACCATATTTATCATAGTGTTTTCCTGTCAGATGTCTAAATACTAAAGCAGGTACTGCAAGATGAACTTAAGCCATTAAGACATTGTTAATAATGCTTGGTTTGCATTTCACTTGTCTTTGAAATTACATATTTAAACGATTTGCTCTTTGTGATTAAAAGTGCTAATTCCTATATTTTTTAATAATTTAACACTCAAATGATTACACTTGACATTGATTTTATCTTATATTTCATTTTGCATTTGTATACTAAACGGACATTAACATTTCCGTTAATGTCATAATAGGTTTGTTTTTGGTAGATAAAATGTTATGACAAAGGCGACGTATATGCTAGAATATTTATTTTCATTTCAGAGTAACATCAGTTTTTACGGGAGCTCACTATGGGCAAGGTAAAGGACCAATATTTGCTCAAAGGTTTCATTGCTATGGACATGAAAGTCACCTTCGAGATTGTCGCTTTGACCCCAATACGTTTTGCTCTCATTCCCGAGACATTGGAGTAATCTGCACAGGTACAAATTCGACTTCTCAGAAAAATGGTTATAATCGGAAGTCACAGAAACTCAAGAAAATCTTATCAAAATTTATCTGTTTCGGACATCAAGTGCATAAATATAAAAGAAAAACAATTAAACTTCTTCCTTTTTCCCAGATCTTAAATTAACAACAAATAAACGATGATTGATCATAACAGTATATAATAATATGTAACAATGCGAAAAGTTAAAGCTTTTTCATAATATTAAGTAAACAAACACCAGTTTTAAATGTGGAAAGTTTGTGAAACACTAGGTAAAGTGGTTTGTGAGTACACTATGAAAGGTTATTTCAATTTAATTGACAGAATGTGGGGAAATCGACATCAAAAATGGAATCATTGAGTCAATATCATATAATGGTTCAGTTCTTACAACCTCTTGTGTTAATGACTACCAGACTAAGTCAAACACAAGTATATGTCTAAGTAATGGAACATGGTCAAACGAAATTACATGTGCAACATCTGGTAAGTTTGTATTACATTTATATTATTTTGATTGATAAGTTAACGTTAATGCGTTTGACTTTGCCGTACATTAAGTGCAAAAACATCGATTTTGTTTTTCTTTTTTTGTGTGCATATTAAGGTCAGATGCTAGCAGTATTAAAATTTTGCTATTCTATAGATTTAATAGTCTTGCAAACGCCACTTCCTTAGTCTTTTCCCTGCAATATAACTAGAACATTATATTATTGTTTAAAGGCGTATGCTAGGATTACATAAAGACTTTAACCAGATTGAAAACGACTTAAAAGAATGCATTTAAACCTTGAATTATCAAAGAATATAATAACAAAAATATTTTTAAGGGAAAAACATAGGGGAGAGGGTGGTGTTGTTACCCACCTCGTTTTTTGTGTGTTTCACCCACGAATTGATTTGTTTTTTTTTTCGCTTTAACCGTTTTTACTATCACAATCACAATATATATATACACTACCGTATTTTGATATTTCGCACATTTTAAGGATGGACCATCATTAAGCTTAGTATCTATTCATACGTAACAGATAAATACAGAAAGCTTACAGTACCAATTATGCAAGATTATGCAATTCACTTGTCATAAATGAATAATGAAAGCCCATTGTGATGTTTGATAGAAAAAAAATCCCGCATGCTTTGATTTCAAACCACGTTAATTGTAAGACATTCCTCTTTAAGATAATTCTGATGTAATCCATATGGTTAGCGGACATTTAAACGCTTAAAAGGTTTCATTTCCATTTATTTGTATGTTTAACATCATATGAATTCTTATATCAGAACTGAACACATAAATTAATCTATATGGAATAGGTCAGACTATTTAAAAACTGTTTGATACTGATAAATGGACCTTACTTCTTTGCGCTTGCGCGATATATTATCTTCAGAGCTTTGTGAATATCGAAATGTTAAAAACATGAATCTTATATTTTCCTTATTCGCAAACTTTTTAATAGATTATTGGTAAATGGTAATTTTCCGGACCAATGGACTGAAATAATTATTTTTCCAAAATTTAAGAAGAGCCATATAAATAACCCATCAAAGTATATAGGGATCGCTTTAATAGATGTTTCAAGTAAAATTTATATCTCTATCATTACTAGACGATTAACTTTTAATGCTGAAGCTTATGAAAAATCTGTGAATTAAGAACTGGATATAGCACTGTCAACAATGCATTTATTTATATATTTTAAGAATGAATGGAAAATCAGTATGTAGCATTTATAGACTTTCAAAACGCATTTGATTCGGATGATAGATCTTTATTATGCACAGTTCTGAGAAATAATGGTATCAAAAGTCATTTGTAAAGGGCTATACATACAATTAATATTTAAGTTAGAGCATGTGCTAGAACAAGGACAGAGTTAACAAATGTTTTTGACTGCCCTATTCCGATATTAAGTCCGATATTGTTTTCTATGTTTATAAATGAGTTATATCTAGTTATGTGCAATTTACAAATTGGTAGTATACAATTGTTTCCTAGTTTGGTTGAATTATTCATGTTAATGTTTGCAGATGGATGACATTACATGCTCTCATGTCAGATACAGTAGTAGGTTTACAGAAACAGCTTAATGTTCTACAAAATTTTGTAATGACTATAAGTTAACTGTTAATATATCAAAGACCAATATATTGATATTAAAGAATAATTGTAGGCTAGCTAAAAGAGAGCAATGGAAATATGGTAACGATCATTTAGAAGTTGTAAATGTCTTTTCATATGTTGACATCTACTTTACAAATAAATTGTGTTTCTATAAAATGGCAGAAAATATGTCAGATAAAGCAAAGATAACTTCAGTTTTAATGATTAACTCTCTAGATCAGTTACCTTGTCTACCTAGCACTACATTTTTTAAATTTTGTGATGCAAAAAAGCTCACATGTTATTATATAGTTCTGAACAGTTTTACTGTGGGGTCTTCAAAAGATGTCTTTATAGAAATATCCATATTTTTTGTCTGTAAACGATTTTTGAAATAAAGTACAACATCATGTAATAATGCAGTAATAGGTGACCTTGGAAGATACCCCATGCATAAATGTACTGCAAAAAATGTATTTCATATTGGAAACGAATACTTATTTTTTCTAGTGATGTAAAGTTATGTTATGAAATGTTAAGGAGCTATGACAACATGGGTTATCATAATTGGGCTACTGATGTTCGTGTACATTTATTTTCAAATGGCTATGGTTATGTTAGGGAGGATCAAAGTGTTGACAATCCAAAGTTATTTTTTGTTACAATAAGCTTAAAGATTAAAGGATTAATATGTATAAGAATAGAGAGATAGGTGTAGTTCTATGAGTAAATTATTCCATTATGTAAATTTAAAAAAAAAATGTAATTGAAAAATACATCAATGCCATTGGTATTGACAAATGTAGAATATCGTAGTTCAGCACATAACCTTATGGTGGAAAAATGAAGATAATATGATATCATTGTTTAATATAGGAATTCTCCTTCTTGTGAATGTTATTTGGAAGATTTTTACCATTTTGTGTTAGTGTGTCCTCTTTACAATGACTAAAGGATTAAATACATACTCTCTGTATATTATCAGACTCCAAATGAACTAATGTTTTATAATTTAATGTCTTGTCACAATGTTTGATTCATAAGAGAACTTACTATATATTTGTATTTTGCTACAAAAGAAAGAATGCATTGTCTCACGTCTGACTAGAATATTATTAAATTGACTTATCAATCAATCATTTAAAATATGACTGAAATAATTGTGTGTATTATTCTATTATCTTGACAACATAAATATAATGTTATTGCTTAACATGACTGTTATATTATGATAATGTAATATGTGTATGGGCTAGTGGCCTGATTATACAATTAACAATTGAATTGAATTACAGGGTATCCACTGAACATTACTGACATACGGCTTGTCAACGGTTTAGGTCTTACCGATGGTATTGTCGAGCTCAAGGTCAATGATACCTGGGGGCAGATCTGTCGTAACAGCTTTCAATACAACGACGCAAAAGTGATATGCAAGATGCTTGGATTTAAGTAATATTGACTAAAATAAACTATACTTGTATAAGATCAATTTGAATTTGTAATTGGTGAACAGGAATTATTTAGTCATTAAAACGGTGGTGCATAACTAAACTTTATTGGTAGTTAAACGATACATCAAAACATTTATCATTCCGTTGGGGGTAGCATAATGATCAAAAGTTGATGACTGTAAATAAAACCTAACTGTTAAATATCTTTAAAATTAAAAACTCATTTAACCTATAATGAATGCCCAAAATGTTTTTCTTTTTCTTTTTATATTGATTATAAATTGCTTAGATATGCAACATTTAGCTACCTTTGTTTCATAAAGGTATGACACTTACATGAATGTAATTATGCAGACCAGAAGATGACATTCATGAGTCTTATATAATATGCCTTAATGAATTTGATTTCAGCTACTGGACGTACTATTCTTCGAATCGTTTAAGAAGCACTTCAAACCTTTATCATTTAGACAAACTTGATTGTATAGGAACGGAGGATCACATTAACGCATGTTTATACGATGTTCGTCAACATGTTCGAGTACCTATCCAATCGACGTTGAGTGTAGTAAGTTCTGTAAATATTCTGTTTCTATTTCTGCATAGTTTTGTGTACAGGAGCTATTAATATACAATTGCAATGAAATTAGCTCAAGAGATAAATAAATTGATAGAGTTACACAAAATAATGATACTTTCTTACTAACATTTCAATTGTAAACATATGTTTTGGAGTTTATATGAAAATAACTTTTAAGTTGTAAATTATACATCGTACTCTCTTTTTTTCTTTTTTGTAATACAATAATCATGGTTTATTAATCCAATGCTTTTTAATCATTTTTTTCACCGTATTAGACATTGAATGATGCATATTTTTAGAGCTGATATCTATTCCCTTATTCATTAAATTAAACACTTTTCTACCGTGTTCTGTTTGGATAATCGTGATTTTTTGTTTCGTCCACATACCCGCATCTCACAATGGTACGATGGTGAAACCCACGAGTAAGGACGAAATAAAAAAAATTACGATTGTCCAAACGAAACACATTACTTTTCAGCCTTTGAAATGTTTGAACAATGTGACCTTCTTGCTTGAAATCACTACTGGATCTAATGTCATACAATAAGCTTTGTGGTTTTCTTTTTATAGTCCAGAAAGTCATATTCAACCCGTATGATACTCCATATCCTTTGGACACCTGGTTGATTTTTACAGCGAAATGCTATAGCGTATTGAAACGTATAAAAAATTTCTCTTCTCAGAACAAGGGTTATTTTTACAGAAAACACCTACAACGTTCACGTTTTAACAATTTTCAATGCTGTAATGTTTTTTCGAGTTCAGACTTAAAACACATTTTTACGCGTTAAATTGCTTTATTCAAAACGTATGGACCCGTGGTATACACAATTTGTTAACGGATCAGGTGTTAAAGTGTGCAACTATTCCAGAACATTACTATATATGGTTTATCTGAAAGCAATATGTAGATGCAAAATAGGAAAAACAGTAACATATTTGTACAAACTTTGTCAATGAAAAATTTAAACTGTATAAAACGTAGTTTTGAAAGTCAATACAGATCAATAAACTACATAAAACATGACCCTTTGAGTGTTTAACCTTTTGTGCCAAAATGTTGTCATCATTCGAAATGCAGAACTTTCTTAAGTTTACACACTATGAAATCATAGTATTGAAAATACCACTAATTTGTATTTAATTTGTACTATTATATAATCATTGAATAGACGATTTTTTTTTTATTTGAATACTTATTGGTTTTAACTGTTAATTATTTGACAAGTTTTCTCTTTTGAAGAACTTGTGGTTGTTAATTAGAGGTCATGTTACATTGCTGAGTACAAAACTGATTTTTTTTTCTTCTTCCCTATTTTCATTGCACACATTTCGTAAATTTGTAAGTTTAAACATAAATTCAGGTTATGCTTTTTGTTTGATGGAATATATCTCGCTCAGATTTAGTGTCTTCACTAAAATAATCAAATAATGAACAAGTTAACCTGACACTCATGTTACTGCGTTCGAGCGCTACTGAACGCTTTTTCTGCGTTTCAATAAAAAGCCGAAAGACAGAAACATTGTCGTTGCTTTTTTTTAAATATGCTTGACTCACAAACGGAAGTGAGAAATATATTAGGTTACTGATGCTGAATATAACATGTTTACTCAAACTAATGAAATCCCACCATTTGTTAACAATTCATACAAACATTACACATCAGTTAAGAATAAATTACAATATCTTTTTCAAAGGGTTTTGAACAACCCTGATTGTAGATGCTTGACCTACACTGTTTACCTATACAAATAGATATTAAATTTGTTTAATGCATCGTGCCCTTTCATGTTTCCCTAGTGATAACGATTATAAGATAAATCCGATGATATTATAAATATTTGTTGATTAATTAAGTTAATTAAAAAACAATAACAAAAATTAAAAGCAACAAACAACCAAAAACGAAATGAAATCTCCTGTTTCGTAATTAAGGAAAACTGTTTTAGATTACCAACGAAACTTAATTAAATCTCTGAAAACAATCACAACTATGTACGTAGTAAAGAAGAAAAATCTGTCAAGGATGAAGTATGCTATCATGCTATCATAGTGTGCTATCATATAGTAAGTGACCATATCTAGTTGAACTGCATATGATGTACAAGAGGTATGTAAAAATATTTAAAATGACAGTGCAAAAATAACCATTTTTAAATAATAGTTATCGGAATTACTTGAATCTCTATGAAAATTATAATTTATGTACGCATTTATGTTTTGTTTTAGAATATCCTTTTAATATAACAGAAGTTAGGCTTGTCGGGGGAACAAGTCAATATGACGGTCGTGTTGAAGTTAAAATTGCTGATGGCTGGGAACTGTTTGTAGTAGATACATCGGACGATATGATGCCGACACTTTATGTAAATCAAAGGATTTGAAGTAAGTAATCTGTATTATAGTGATTCTGAATTATCTTTACTACAGTACAACATGTTTTGAGTGAGTAGAATACAGCATTTAAATATGGTAGTATTTTGGTAACAAATGTATTTGTAATCTAAAAAAGAGAGGAATGCCTTATAGAAGGAAGTTAAAATAATTATTAAAGTTTTTGATCGGTCAATCGAAAGTAAAGGCAGCCGTAATAAAAACATCGATAAAGTTACAATAACAGAAATATAATAAAATGTGGTTATTGTAAGATTTTAGAAATAAACAGCAAATTTCAGATTATTGACGTGTAAGAAATATTTTTGTGAGACTTGTTCAAGATTAGTATTAACTACTTTAAAATTTGATGAAATTTTATCCGCGTATGAACATCAATTATGAAGCAATTTTACTGTTACATGTTACAATTATGGGAACCATCCTTAAAGCTAACCAACGAATTGTTGGGATAAATTTAATTTTTATAGATGTTCACCGACGGATGCTGTTCTTCCCATTCTACTGAATTTCATGTACTTGTTTTCAGTACTTTCAGTTACATGCGCTGATGAAAATAAATTGTATTGAATTGTAGATTGACACACTACTTTCCAAATCCTTCTGTTTACGGACAAGGAACAGGTGATATATACATCGGTGTAATAGGATGCTCTGCTGCAAATACTCATATAAATCAGTGTAGTTTTCTACCCCCGAGTCGATACTACTGCTCTCACAATTATGATATTTCACTAGTGTGTACACGTAAGCATTATGGGCATCTTTCTTTCCTTTTCGTACTACATCATTGATAGATTGTTTATTTTCAAACATATACAGACCAAATTACATTATTTGCAACCAAAACATATTATGTGGCTTGCTGAGGTACTTAAAAATTGACGGTGATGAACTAACTGACTTGTATATATTGTATTCAGAAGAATGCTTTCAAAAATAACAAAATTTGACATAGATTAATTCTCTGAAAACGATGATGACAATATATTAAGTATGTTAAAATTTAGGAACCTTTTAGATTCAGTCTGAACATAGACAATACCGGTAAATGCAAACATCGTCGATGGATCATTCTCTAGCACCATGCCACTCGCGTCGATTGCTAACTTCCCATGTGCGTGAATTTGGCCAGTTTAAAAACAAATTCAGACATAATTTTAGTCAATAATTTATCTTGAGTGTAGAGATCGGGAAATGGGCTTGAGGGATATGGAAAATAAAATACGAGCTAAAAATTGACACAAAATGGGTAATTAGAGACTGGATCACTGCTGCAATATGTAATACTCAGGGTCAAATTGTGCACTTGAAAATGCATCGAGAACCACCATTTTTTATTAAGATTTATTCACCACCCTCTTTTTTTATTTAAAACTTAAGTATTCAAAACAAAGGATTCTGGATTTGTTATGGAATTCTTCATGACATTATTTGTTTTTATTGACTTGATTATATTTTTTATCTTGAACCTTAGGAACCTCAGTCTGTCTTACATTTATCTGATCCTTCAGGATTATTTATTCCATAACTTTAAGTGTTGATGAATGAATACCATTTTTAGGATTGAATACCGTTTAAGCCTTTGGTAGGGATCATGAGAGATATTTCACTTTTCATTGTTTTTCTCACGAACAATCTCAAACAAACGAAGTCTGCAATTTTAGCCTTTAACTGTTGCCATTGATCCCGAGCAATAAATACTATTTTTAGGACATTCATAATCAAAACTTAACATCCATCGAAAACTTATTATTATTTTGTTTAAAATTACAGCTTGTGGTAAACCGACAATACAATATGGATCTTTTGATTCTTTTAATGGTACTGTACTGACCGCAAAGTGCAAAGTTGGCTATCAACCAGAAAAAATAACATTTGATTGTCTTGCGAATGGGACTTGGCTGCAAAATGACAAATGTTCATTAAAATATTGTACGTTACTTATATTGCTTATCTTATAAAATTTATGTCAATATACGATACATATTTATAATTAGAAAGCTTCCTGGATATTATATTTATAGTTTAATAATATATTTATGACTGACCAAAAAAAATAAAATAAAAACTATTATCATCATCTATTCACACAATTATTTCCTTTCTGTGGTGATTTTAGTTCACAATATGACATGTCATATAGATATGTTTATTTTTGGTAGAAAAAGAATATTTACACAATGATTTACTTAAGACTATCTGGCAGAGCTGCTATAGCTATATAATATGTTTTAATTATAGCGTATCCGTTAGAAATAAGTGATTTGAAGTTTGTTAACAGCTATGGTCACCACGAAGGTCGTGTAGAGATCCAAGTTGATGGTATCTGGGGAACTATTTGTAGCAACAATTTTACGATGGCAGAGGCAAACGTCATTTGTAACATGATCGGATTAGAGTACGTTCATTGTCATAGTGTATCTTTTAATTAAACCTAATTTACAAAATGTTGTATTTTATTTTGATATGACTTTGAGTGCAGTACTGACAATTATAGAATTTATATTTGATAATTATACAGTAAAAATCTTCAATCACCAAACTGTAATTTTATACTTGCGTAAAAAGGCTGCTTTTTCGAAACGTCCCTCTTGTGGAAGCTCATATTTATTTACAATTATAGATAATTTGTAAATTTATACATTTTACTTTAGACATGTTAGCAACATAACCATAATATTGATCAATAGTGAAAGTTAAAAACATAATGTAATTGATAAAATCAACGGTATACCCGTGTTCATTCATGTGGTGCTTAATTGCATTATTTTGGGTTTTCTTGTCAATGGGTAATTGTTAGTCCTACACACGATTAACAGCTCCTGAAGCCATTTTGTGATATTTATATAACCTCCGAGCATTGGGTATAACTAATTATTAGTTGACTGTCAGAGATAGATCAATTACAAAGCATAACAGGTAAAGTTGTACTGCCTTTTAAAAAATAAGTAAATCGAAATATCCAAAATAAGTCTGACAATTATATATTTGTTTCTGACAATATTTTATCCTTAATACCCAATAATTCCAACATTTATCATGAAACTGTTTTATATCTCTTAATATTTTATTTTATTTTTCAAATAGACTGACATTTAATTCATTATGTTTGTGTATGTTTGTTTCAGATAAATATTATCATCGCCTTCTAATGTTTACTATTTTCCTTAATTTTCCTGTTTAATATGCCAGTCGGTGAAAAATTAAGGCGACCAACAGAGAAGCAGATTTTTATAACCTTTCAAATCATCAATTTTCTCATTTATAACGCAAATAAGTATAAAGTAGAAATAAAACTTCGTCTGAACAAAGTAGCAAAATTTGGGCAAATCAGTGTTAGTCATCAACACAATTCCTTGTGCAGCATTTAAATGTTTTTATACAGGAGATAGGGAATATTTGTTTGTTTCTAGTATACAATGTAATTTTAATACATCTCATTCTCTTGAGCTTAAAAAAGATGAACTGTTCACTAATGGTTAAGCCACTCATGAAAATTTGCCCTGATGAAGAAAATATTAATAATGACATGAGAAGACGTATTCAATATTCCGTCACTGTATTATAAAATGTATCATTGCCAAATTCAGATGAAATATGTTTTTGACTTTTCTTTCGGCCATTTAAATATGTTGCTTAAATTATTAGATAGTTACAGAAACTCTACTAAGTACATTAAATTCTTTAAACTATATACAAATATTTAAGTTATTTCTAAAGGCTAGGTTAAGAATGTCTAACGCAACAACAACAACAACAACAAATAAAAAGCAAAAGCAATCGTGTTTACAGTTAAGTTCGGAAAGCTTTTTGATCACATGTGCATCAATGTGCATCATGTTTAATATTGTTGGTATATTTCCGCATAAAATAACTTTGCTTTTCATACAAATTAATATTCTTATTCGTTGAATACTCTTTGATAGGCCTAGTACATCGTGCAGCTATAACGATAAAATTTGTTTGCACACATGGATTTCATTGGAAAATCCCGCATTTGCCGTGTTCTTTATAGCAACTATCAATTTCTAAAAGTATAATACTCTGGCGTTCCAATGCCTGTAACTATGCAAGAGCTAGTAATAGTTTTCACAGTAAAGCTGAGGGGTTTCCTTTTTAAAATCATAATTGCTCATCAACATTTGAATAAATTAAAAACATTACAATAACAGGATTAAGAAACTTTTAGAAAGCTTGGTTTTAAGACCAACGGCAAAAAATGTATCAATAAGGAGATTGCGTTGATAATTGTTATTAGTTTATTCCATCAATAAACATGATATGAATGAAAAACGATTATTTGATTAACGGAGTGTTTGTTGAGTGTTTGTAATAAAAATCATTTAATAGTAAACTGATATATCTGCGTTTAGAATGGTTCAAAAATATGATCTTCTGTTTTTCTAGTCATTAAACTATGTTTATGGCTTTTATAGAGCAAATCAAATTTACACAGAAACAAGGGGCGACGGCCGGGTTTTTATTTCAAATCTTCAATGCAATGGAAATGAATCACATATCAACAACTGTTCCTACAATGTTGATAATGACTGCTTGAACACATTTGGTGCAGGAGTTTACTGTACAGGTAAATACTTTATTTTCATTTCGTTTCTCTTTTCTACGGTTGGACAAAATAGACATGTGTGCGTTTTTATTTATCTCGTGCGTACGAGATACTATATCGTGGCGAAGAGTTAATAAGTCGTGGCCACATGTTTGTCGTGGGCACGAGATGGTTAAGTCGTGGATACGAGATACTATGTCGTGGACACGAGTTACTTAGTCGTGACCACGAGATAATTAGGTCGTGGGCACGAGATAACAAACACAAGAATGCTTTTTACTAAGCTTGTCTTTTTACAAGAAGTGCAGTGCTACTAATTAACTTATCAGTGCAGACTTAGAGAACATTTAGTTCAGCTACAAAAGCTACAGAAGCAAAAAGGTCACAATTTATACCGGAATAAATCAGAATCATATTTACGTTTGTCATTTAGATGTTTTTATGCTTCCCAGCATACAAAAAAAATCTTTAAAACGATTGCAATGTTTTTTTAATTAGTTTTTATTGCCTTAAAGGGAGGCTTGCTCAAATGTCTGTCCGTATTTATATCCGTCCGAGCGCCCTTATGTGCCATTTAGGAGTATTTGACGATTTCCCCGTATACACCCAACCTTTACGATGAATCATTGGTTATATGAGGCAAAAAAGCTGCTTTTTCAGTTTTAAAAAGTTTTAAAAAATAATAAGATCACACCTATCCGCACATATAGTAATATGTTTTAAGTCCTGTCGATAACTAGCTTTGAACTAAATTGCATGAATATGTGGTACATTGGGACAATGTCATGAGCAAGACCCAGGTGTGAGACAACACTTCCAGTTATTTTAGATTATATCAATTTACTTAAGTTGAAGTTAGACTTGAAGTGCTATAAAATCCAGTTTAGGATTCTGTTATTAATAGTTGAGTTTTAATCTTTTACTGCATGAGCATATGGTGAAAAATGGTTGTTTTCATTGAACGCCTCCTGTTGTAAGTTCAAACTGCTATGAAACTATAACAATGCTTCAATACTGATCAAACTTGGTACAAATGTTGACTGGACCATACTCTTTGTAACAGCTTGATCAGTCTAAAATTTCCTGTTACAAAGGCAACTGTTGTAAGTTGGAAATCCGATTAAAAATTTGCCATTCACAAATTGATTCAATTTTACCGTTTAATATATTTATTCATTAGATAGATATCTTCCTGAACTATAGGTTGTCCGGAAAATTCGATAACAAGGCTATACAATAATTATAAGCAGTCATAGCAATATGATGATTTAATATTTTGCTAAATCATTATTTTTTTACATATTCTGAAGTTACAAAAACCACCAGAACAATAATATTTCCAAAGCGCCAATCACCATGCCAACATTATCTACGGTCCACGGAGCACTTTGATTCCATAACAGTTGCTTCTCGAATAAAAAGTTGTTAAAAATCGCACTTTTAGTGCAAATCGTTTTAAGTCCCCTACCGGTTTACCGGAGGGGACTTTAGGTTTACCCTCCGTCCGTCTGTCCGTCAGTCCGTCCGTCTGTCACTCCGTCAGTCCGTCCGTCCACAAAACTGGATCCCGCGATAACGCAAAAAGTACTTAAAATATTTTTATGAAACTTGATATATGGATAGATGGCAGTATTGAGATTATGCACATCTTTTTCTTTTTTTCCTATGTTGAAAATTCTGGTTGCTATGGCAACAAATAGACTGAAAATATGGCAACTTTTACACATAACCTGGATCCCGCGATAACGCAAAAAGTACTGAAAACATTTTTATGAAACTTGATATATGGATAGATGGCAGTATGGAGATTATGCACGTCTTTTTCCTTTTTTCCTATGCTGAAAATTCTGGTTGCTATGGCAACAAATAGACTGAAAATATGGCAAATTTTACAAACAACCTGGATCCAGTGATAACGCAAAAAGTACTGAAAATATTTTTATGAAACTTTACATATAGGTAGAAGGCAGTCTTGATTTTATGCACATCCTTTTCTTTTCTTCCTATGTTGAAAATTCTGGTTGCTATGGCAACAAATAGACTGAATTTCAATATTTCTGATTCTAGTTTTTAATTTTTTTCACTATTAGTTCTTTATTTCTTAAGGTATTTTCTTCAAACTTTAAATATAAGTTGCTAATCATTAACCACATCATATGTGACAAGGTTTACAACTCTAGCACAAAATTTATCATGAAAAGAATATTGTTTTTTTTAATAACTTCTTTTTTTCTGAATGTATCTACTTCAAACTTCATATATATGTTTCTTATTATCACTCTACATTTGTGAGAAAGTTCAATACTCTAGCAAGACTATTTCTAGAATTATGCCCCTTTTGAACTTAGACTTTTTTTCGAGGAATTGGTAATTTTTCCTCCAACTTCTTCAATCATGATAGGATTTTCTTCAAACTCTCACATCATAATAATATGACAAGGTTTATAAATCTAGCATCCATATTTCCAGAATTATCTCCTCCTTAAACTTTTAATGTTTCTTATTTGTTCTTTTAACTTTCATTTACTTCAAATTCAAACTAAACATTCATTTTTCATACATTCATTACTAATTGTTCTTTGTTACACTCACATCATGTATGACATCTTGCATCTTTATTTCAAGAGTTATCTCCTTTTTAAAAATTTGCTTTTAAAAATGTTATATTTTGATAACAGGGATGTTTAAAAAATATCCTTCAGTCCGTCTGTCTGTCTTTCCTTAAATCTGTTTCCTGTGATCACTTTTAAAGAACCTTTTCAACAAATTTACTTAAAATAGAAACATAAGTGAATGGCCAATGGCCCTTCCAAATGTTGCTGGGGTTCTAACCGGTAGGGGACTTATGGATTGCTTGCAATACTTTGATAATTGCTTGTTGTTAATGTGACATCATATGATATTATTCTATGATATGTAGTTAAAATCATGATGTCATATGCAAGTTAACGAATTGACTCGTTAACAGGCCTTTAAGGTTCGTAAAATTTGTGTTTGCAAAAATGACGTACTTTCAAGGACGGAGCAACGTAATATTCATTCCCTTGAATAAAAAGGTGTTTTTGTGTTACAAGCTGCACAGAAGCTTGTTCAGCCTACCTCACAGAAACTACTGATGCAATTTCATCCAAACTTTACAGAAATCATCAGTATTATGTTGTGTCTGCATATTATCGGTTTTGTAAGGTTCAATGATTTTTATCATAATTATGGCCCTTTCATGATTATAATGTTTTAAAGTTTTTGTTCGGACTACTTCTCTTATACTGCTGAGGCAATTTGAATGAAGCTTTACAGGATTTACTAGTATATCAAGTACTAAAATATATTAAAGGGTTATAGGCTTGAATGATTTTTTGCTGAGTTAATGATTTTGGTATCTCCTACTACAATGTAGCTGCAACATGCAAATTGCTATCATAAGACGACACATGTGAATACTGATCGCAAAAGAAGTTATTAAGCTCGATAAAAAATATTTTTGTTACATAAAAGGAAACATTTGAATTAAAAGAGGATTTTGAAGCAAATTGTGTCTGTCTCAGATTTGATATCTTATTTTACAGGGTATCAGCTGAATGTTACCGGATGGCGCCTGGCCGGTACAAATGGACCATATCATGGAAGAGTCGAATTAGAAGTGAATGACACATGGGGAACAATCTGTTCACGAAGATTCTATGGCTGGCCATCAGCAGCTGTTATATGCAATATGTTTGGATTACGGTAATTATGCTTATTTCAAACTATTTTAATCTGTTGGACTTCAAAAAGAAAAACGGATTTAGCACTTTGAAACTGAAATATTGTTTCTTTATTAAAAATGAAATATTTAATATATTTTTTCTCTGTTAACCAAGAAACTAAAATTTACTGATTGTCACCTTGCAGATATTACGACTACTTTTATTATGCATATTATGGGCAAGGAGAAGGTCCAATATACATAGAGAGTCTATACTGTAGCAGCTCATCCTATACAGATATAAACGACTGCAAATATGTTGCAAACAACTACTACGGAGCATGTTCGCATGCAAAAGATTTATCAGTGATGTGCCTTGGTAATTTTATACTTGTCCCGATTCCGTTAACGTTATACATTTTAATATTAATTGGTTTACGTTCCAAAAAATGTAAAATCTTAAATATTTCTGTCAATGGATCATAAGCTAATAATCATAAATATTTTGTTTTATGCACTGTTATTTTTCTTAAGACAGCTATACACTGCGATTTTGCATGACAATGAATCAAATTGATTGTAAAGCGATCGGGTAAAACATAAAGATTTAGTAAGCCTATTTAAAAAAAATTATATTGTATATATTTTGATCAACATATTCATATATTGGTATATAAAAGAATTTTATCATTAGGTCCGTTTCTGAATATAACGGATGTGCGATTAACAAATGGAACAGGGCTTAACGACGGTAGGGCAGAAATCAAAGTTAACGACACATGGGGAACTATTTGCGATTCTAATTTTGATTTAAGAGATGCAGAGGTGTTTTGTAATATGCTTGGACTTAAGTAAGTTGTTTAACACAGTTTTTAAGGGGAATCAAATGGAAAATCGTGATTATTTTGGATGTAAACTCGCGTAAAATAACATTTGTAACACAATATAATTTGTACATACATATGGGATTTCGTCAACATCCTCTACGGCTGATACAAGATTTGCTATTATATATAATTCCTGGGAATATCTTCCCAAATATTTCAAATGTTAGAGAAATGACAACACATTGTTAATAAGAATTATACCAGTTTGTTTTGTAAATGATTTCTTAATCTGTAGATATTTGTGATTGATCATGTAAATGTTTGCCCTTTACAAATGATACAAATATGCCGCAATTTAATCAAAATTATGGTTATTCAAAAACGTTTGAGAAATTCAAATAGAGATATTTAATAGTTAAGAAACCTTTATATATTCATACAAATAATGTTCATTTATACTTTTGTTTTGTCGAATGTACTCGAAAATTAAATATAGAAATTGTAATTGAAGGCAGCAAGAATTAAGTTCAAGTATTTCTTTTTTAAATTACTAGAGCGGTGAGATTCTTTACCGGGGCATTGTATGGAGAAGGAGGTGGGCCGGTTTATATTGATCAACTTTTCTGTGACAGTTATGATGTTGTTCTAAGTGATTGCCAGTATTTGTTTCTTAATGAATGCAGTCATAGCAGAGATGTTTCTATAGTATGTAATGGTAGGTCATTTTATTGTTTCTGTTTCTTATTAAGTCTGATCCTTTATTGTTATTGCACATCGTTTCTGTTGCTTGATATCACATCTGCGGATGTTTCTAAATTCAAAATGTTACCATTTCATGTTTAAATGTTGAATTCTGCTCAAGGCGGTGCTAGGGGCGTGGACGGTAGTTTGCACTTTACAGTACCGTACATGAACAGGCTCAATCAAACCGAGCCTGCAGCATTTTCATTTTTTTCCGCCTTAGACTTTCTATAGGGATTCTTATTTTCTCTATTTGATAAAGTACATCTACAAACTGCTTATTTTGTGAAATATAATTATGATTTAAAACGTTTGAAATTCGGGAGTCTATATTTTTAAAGAGTGCTTAAAAAGGTGTTTTAGATAACTTATAAGTAGAAAGGTAATTTTATACTTGTCTCGATTCCGTAAACGTTATACATTTTAATATTAACTGGTTCAATGTGGCCAAACCAGGTGACTTTTCGGGTACGGAGCACGCCGATTTTTCAACCGATTCAGGTAGGTTTTTTATTTATAACTTATTTATTACTCAACCGATTTTAATCAGATAAGGCGCAGAGTATCCGTAATTATATCAGCTTTCCACGGTATATCAAAATTCTGAAAACCCCTGCATGGTTTTTGAGAACATTCGAGGTCAATTTTTTTTCTCATAGCCTGGGCCGAGGGGAACGGTACACACTCATTTTTCATAAGAAGCGATTTCTAGCAAGTCATATGTTTTTTGTCAATATTTCATAGAATAATACATGTTAAATCTGATATATTTACTATGTCCAATGTATCGAGTGAATGCAGTGATGTTTTAGCATATTTTCAAAAAGTTATGTTGAAATGGTACGGAACACACTGTTATTTCATAAGATACTGTACACACACTCACAACTTTTGTCTTTGAAATAATTCTAAAAAAATATATGAAAATTTAATTTAAATTGTAATGTGAGTGGTTTTTTTTTTTCATAGTTATACAATTTTTTTTTAAACGGGAACCCTGGGACCTGTTTTGCAATGTATCATTACATGCTTACAGTTTGATGTAAACAGGATTATTCAAAAAATAAAATAAAAGAACATTTTGAGTGTACGTCGCGCAAAATTCGATTTAAAATGTTGTGCAAATAATATTTGGCTATAAGATGTTAATTTTTTAGGGAAGGATACGAAAGACATTCAAAATTTATGTTCTGTTTTGTTTTTCATTTGATATAATTATCTATATTTTTCGGATTATAAAACGAATTGTGAAATACATGGGCATCTGTTATGTCCGATTATTTTTTTATTCAATTTATGTGTTCGAATATATAAATGACTGTCTAAACTTAGTATGAATATAAAAAAACAAGAAGATAGGAGTAAGTTGAAATAAATGTTCTTTGCAAACTGTTGTTTAAATAATCGAATTTGAAGAAAAACGTTGGTTTTGATGCAAGTGGATATTTAAATTCACAGAAAGTTTATTTTTCTGCCACATAATATTTGGTATGAATCATCTGCCAGGGTCCCAAACTAACTGCATGTATTTAAGTTATCAAATTATCTACATATAGCCAAAGATATTCCGCAGTTTTACGTGAAATCAAAATTAAGAGCTGGATAATTTGAAGAATTCATACGGTAACAAGGCCTGTTATATAACGTAATGTAGATTATACAAGGTAACCTTGTTACATATACATGTAAGAAATTTTGGTAAAATTATGCCTATCTTGGACTTTCTTAGTTTCTTTTTAATAACTCACGAAACTTATTGTCAATGACCAAATTTCATTTAAAGATGCTTTAAAAACATGAGTTCATGGATATGTGTGCTTGATTTTTGTTTTTAAAAAAAATGATATTTTAATAATACCCATTTTGTCAATCAAAGGCTTTGGATTTGGAGGCTGCGTTCTGTTTATATACTACATGAAGTAGGTATAAGACCACAAGTGACTTCAATGTTTCGATTTTTCATGTGAGAAAGTTTTCTAGGGGGCGTGGACGGTAGTTTGCACTTGACAGTACCGTCCATGAACAGGCTCAATTAAACAGAGCCTGCAATATTTTCAATTTTGTCTTGTTTGGCTTTCTTTAGGGATTCTTATTTGTTCTATTCTAACTACCGTACAGAACGTCGGTCGTTCTACTCAGGTGCCCGTTCGTACCTTTATTTATACCCAAAGGGGCACTTGTAAAACTGGAAAGTCGCCACATGATCATGTCAGTTTTGGTGAGACGTGAAACCAAATCAAAAATGACTCATATTACCTGAATTAAAAGTTATTTTTAAAGCTTCATGTCTTTAAGCATTAAAAATTTAAGCAATGGCAACTACATTTGTATTTCTTTAAGTCGTCAGACCAAACAAATAATGGTAGCGAAATTTCAGACTCTGGTATGCTTATTTGCAAAATCAGAAAGTAGTTCGAACTCCTTGAAGCAGTTAATTCCCTTTATAAGTATTTTAGAGTACTTATATTAAGGGGAGATCACTGCGTAAAGATTGTGAAATGACAGACGCATTAATTTTCAAGCATTCTCGGGGGAAGATAAAAAAGTTCCCGATTGGTCGAAGGTTACAACTATTGTGTAGTTCTTTACAGATATAAATGTAATATTAAGCTCCATGATTATTTACATCAGTGTTAAACGAAAATAATAAGGGTTACAAACTCTAATTAGAATAATATGGTTTTCTTCAGGTTGTTATTTAATAAGTTCCCCTTGGTCGAGGGGTTACACGCTCGTTTAAGAAGAGAGATGCCCTGAGTTCAAATCCGAGTTAAAGCAACTTATGTTATTTTTTTTGTTCATTTTTTATTATTTATTTTATTTATTGTTTAAGCCAAATAAACATTGAATTGAATATCAATGTTGCAATTAGCCTTATAGCCAATTTACTACAGTTATGACACAGGAAACAGCATTAGTGGCACTATACAAAAACAAAATTGGTTTGTAATCTAACAACCTTCACTTTTCTGACATTATGAGACCCAAACAAATTCAGCACCTTCTTTGATTTAATTAAACATGACCAAGATTTCGAAAAATTTACCCAGTGACTAACTTATTATTAACAAAATATAAAAACATATGTAATGTTATCAAGTAATGATACTTTTCAGCGATTTAGGTCATGACCTTGTTTTATTTTTTCAGGATGAAGCAAAACAACAATAAACAACAATAAACACAGCATTATACTAACACTTTTCTATAGAACAATCATTTTAAACGCAACCACATGATTCTGTGAAGATCGAAGTGTTTAACATACCCTAGGTGATTTTAAATAGGACAATAACATTGAAGTTGTAAATGTTAAGGTGATCTCTTGAAATATAATGCACAGATACATCTAAACATTTAAAGTAAGCATAATGATACATTGCAAAACAGGTCCCAGGGTTCTTATTTAAATAGATAAAATGTATAACTATGAAAAGTAATCACTCACATTATATTTTAAATTAAATTTGCATATATTTTATTTTAGAATTATTTCAAAGATGAAATAACAGTGTGCTCCGTACCATTTCAACATAACTGTTTTGGAAATATGCTAAAACGTCACTGCATTCACTCGATACATTGGATATAGTAAATATATCAGATTTAACATGTATTTTTCTATGAAATAGTGACAAAAACCATATGACTTGCTAGAAATCGCTTCTAATGACAAATGAGTGTGTACCGTTCCCCTCGGCCCAGGCTATGAAATGAAAACTGTACTCGAATATTCTCAAAAACCATTCAGGGTTTTCAAAATTTTGATTTACCGTGGGTAGCTGATATAATTACGGATACTCTGCGCCTTATCTGATAAAAATCGGTTGAGTAATAAATAAGTTATGAATAAAAAACCTACCTGAATCAGGTGAAAAATCGGCGTGCTCCGTACCGAAAAGTCACGTGGTATGGCCACACTGTGGTTTACGTTCCAAAAAATGTAAAATCTTAAATATTTCTGTCAAGGAATCATACGCTAATAATCATAAACATATTTTGTTTTATGCACTGTTAATTTTTAAAAACAGCTATATACTGCCATTATGCATGACAATGAATCAAAATGATTGTATAAGCGATCGGGTAAAACATAAAAATTTAGTAAGCCTATTTTTCTATATTATATTCTATATGTTTTGATCAATATATTCATATAGAAGTATATGAAATAATTTTATCATTAGGTCCGTTTCTGAATATAACGGCTGTGCGATTAACAAATGGAACAGGGCTAAACGGCGGTAGGGCAGAAATCAAAGTTAACGACACATGGGGAACTATTTGCGATTCTAATTTTGATAATAGAGATGCGGAGGTGTTTTGTAATATGCTTGGACTTAAGTAAGTTGTTTAACACTGTATTATAAGGGGAAAAAATGGAAAATCGTGATTATTTTGGATGAAAACTCGTGTAAAATAACATTTGTAACACAATATAATTTGAACATACCTATGGGATTTCGTCAACATCCTCTACGGCTGATACAAGATTTGCTATTATATATATTTCCTGGGAATATCTTCCCAAATATTTCAAATGTTAGAGAGATGACAACAAATTGTAAATAAGAATTATACCAGTTTGTTTTGGAAATGATTTCTTAATCAGTAGATATTTGTGATTTATCATGTAAATGTTTGCCCTTTACAAATGATACAAATATGCCGCAATTTAAATATATTGGAATAATCAAAATTATTGTTATTCAAAAACGTTTTAGAACTTCAAATATAGTTCTTTAATAGTTAAGAAACCTTTATATATTCGTACAAATAATGTTCATTTATACTTTTGTTTTGTCGAATGTATTCGAAAATTAAATATAGAAATTGTAATTGAAGGCAGCAAGAATGAAGTTTAAGTATTTCTTTTTAAAATTACTAGAGCGTGGAGATTTTTTACCGGGGCATTGTATGGAAAAGGAGGTGGGCCGGTTTATATTGATCAACTTTTCTGTAACAGTTATGATGTTGTTCTAAGTGATTGCCAGTATTTGTTTCTTAATGAATGCAGTCATAGCAGAGATGTCTCTATAGTATGTTATGGTAGGTCATTTAATTGTTTCTGTTTCTTATTAAGTCTGATCCTTTATTATTATTGCACATCGTTTCTTTTGCTTTATATCACATTTCTACGGATGCTTCTAAATTCAAAATGTTACCATTTCATGTTTAAATGTTAAATTCTGCTCAATGCGGTGCTAGGGGTGTGGACGGTAGTTTGCACTTAACAGTACCGTACATGAACAGGCTTTATCAAACCGAGCCTGCAGCATTTTCATTTTTTCCGTTTTAGACTTTCTTTAGGGATTCTAATTTTCTCTACTTGATAAAGTACATCTACAAACTGCTTTTTTTGTGAAATATAAATATGATTTAAAATGTTTGCAATTTAGGAGTCTTTATTTTATGCTTTTCAGTGGATTACTGATTTATCCGTGAAAATTATATTTGATAATTTCACAGTGAAAATTATCAAAATATAATTTCACACTTTTCAATGACGAAACTACCTTTTTAAGATTTTCCCCATGTGGTACCTCAATTTTATTTTTGCTGACTATTCCGACAATGTCAGGCTGTTTAAAGAAAAGCAAAGCTGAAATTGATAAATAACTTATATGTCACAAGTAATAAAAAGAAGAAAATTTACAGTTAGTTACTTCAATTCATTCAAGTTACCAATCACCAAATATCGTCTCTTTAATTTTTTGTTTCATTTTTACAGTCTGAAAAATACATTCCTTCAACATGCAAAACTGCTCTTGATGACATTTGGGAATATTTAAGTATCCTACGAGCAATAACTGCCGTATGCTTTATGAAAACTTGAAAAGCAATGGCAGCTTTCATTCGAAGAATATGTAAACAACCACAACCCAGCTTTCGTAAGGCTTCCAAGTTTTCCAATTTCCTATCCACTTTTTTGAATGTTTACACATCTGTCAACACTTATTTATTGTCTGTTACAATCCTCCAATAAGTTTTCTTTCTTTTAAAAAGGTGTATGACTAACAATCCAAATGATATCCCTCTGAATCAAACACAATTATTTTCCTCCAGTGAAATACACAACTTTGAAAAATAGCGGCCGCTTACATTTAACATAGCCAGATCTAATATAAATTCGCAGTCAGTAACAGAAATATGGATGGATGGTTGGACTTTTTCTCCTACTATAATTGTTTGTTTTTATTATATAAACAAGCGATCAGACATATTTTTTTAATAAAATGAATACTATCGCCACCATTTAAAGTTAATTGTGGAACTTATTTTTCAGCCCATGACTTCTTGTATTTAATAAGAAATTCGACTTGTTTGAGGCTCTAAATGGGGAAAACAGATTTTAATATTAACGTAAATATTAAGGAAATTTCGTTTTAACTTGTTTTTAAGCATAAAATAAAAAGAAAATGTGTTTGTTTGTTGTGTAAGATGTAATTTTATTTCATCTCGTGAACTTTAAAAACAGTATTCTCACTCGTGGCTACGCCACTCGTGAGAATACTGTTTTTAAAGCCCACTCGATGAAATAAAATTTCATCTTACACACAAACAAACAAATATCCTCTATATATTTCTAAGAGTGCTACAAAAAGTTGTTTTAGATAACTTATAAGTTCATCTTAGGGAATTCAGATTCAAGAAAATACTTAGTTGGTAAAAGGGTAATTTTATTCTTGTCTCGATTCCGTTTACGTTGTACATTTTAATGTTTATTGGTTTAAGTTGAAAAAAATTTAAATCTTAAATATTTCTGTCAAGGAATCATAAGCTAATTATCATAAAAATATTTTGTTTTATGCACTGTTATTTTTTAAAAACAGCTATATACTGCGATTATGCATGACAATGAATCAAATTGATTGTATAGCGATCGGGTAAAACATAAAGAATTAGTAAGCCTATTTTTTATATTATATTGTATATGTTTTGATCAACATATTCATATATTGGTATATAAGAGAATTTTATCATTAGGTCCGTTTCTGAATATAACGGATGTGCGATTAACAAATGGAACAGGGCTAAACGACGGTAGGGCAGAAATCAAAGTTAACGACACGTGGGGAACTATTTGCGATTCTAATTTTGGTTATAGAGATGCGGAGGTGTTTTGTAATATGCTTGGACTTAAGTAAGTTGTTAAACACAGATTTTGAAGGGGAATCAAATGGAAAAATTGTGATTATTTTGGATGTCAACTCGCGTTAAATAACATTTGTAACACAAAATAATTTGTACATACCTATGGGATTTCGTCAATATCCTCTACGGCTGATACAAGATTTGCTATTATATATATTTCCTGGGAATATCTTCCAAAATATTTCAAATGTTAGAGAGATGACAACAAATTGTAAATAAAAATTATACCAGTTTGTTTTGGAAATGATTTCTTAATCAGTAGATAATTTTGATTTATCATGTTAATGTTTCCCCTTTACAAATGATACAAATATGCCGCAATTGAAATATATTGGAATAATCAAAATTATGGTTATTCAAAAAACGTTTTAGAACTTCAAATATAGTTCTTCAATAGTAAAGAAATCTTTATATATTCGTACAAATAATGTTCATTTATACTTTTGTTTTGTTGAATGTACTCAAGAAATAAATATAGAAATTGTAATTGAAGGCAGCAAGAATTAGGTATTTCTTTTTTAAAATTACTAGAGCGGTGAGATTCTTTACCGGGGCATTGTATGGAGAAGGAGATGGGCCGGTTCATATTGATCAACTATTCTGTGACAGTTATGATGTTGTTCTAAGTGATTGCCAGTATTTGTTTCTTAATGAATGCAGTCATAGCAGAGATGTTTCTATAGTATGTAATGGTAGGTCATTTTATGGTTTCTGTTTCTTATTTAGTCTGATCCTTTATTGTTCTTGCACATCGTTTCAGTTGTTTGATATCTCATCTGCAGATGTTTCTTAATTAAAAATGTTACCATTTCATGTTTAAATGTTGAACTCTGCTCAAGGCGGTGATAGGGGCGTGGACGGTAGTTTGCACTTTACAGTACCGTACACGAATAGGCTCAATCAAACCGAGCCTGCAAAATTTTTATATGCTTTCCTTTTTTGACTTTCTTTAGGGATTCTTATTTTCTCTATTTGATAAAGTACATCTACAAACTGCTTTCTTGTGAAATATAATTATGATTTAAAACGTTTGCAATTTGGGAGATTTTTTTTTATTCAGTTTCAAGAAAATACTTAGTTGGTAAAAAGGTAGAATAATCAATAAACAGCTTTGATGAACATTAAGCTTTTTGTAATTATTTTGAACTTTTCCAAATAATGCAGTGAGTGAACGTTTAGAATTATTTCTGATTAGGCTTGTAAATAAAAGATCGTAAATAAAATATAGTCAGCGACTGAGTAACAGTATAGTGTTCTAACTCATTTTATTATTTTGTTTTTAATGAAGAGCCGTAACAAGTGTATTACCTTAACGAAGACTTGATGCTTACTTTTAATATATATTTTATTCATTTAAGAATGCGGGGAGCCAGACAACTCTCATTGGGATGCTGGATATTTTACATACAATGGTTCAACTTTGTATGCTGACTGCTCCTTCTATAAATCATATTTAGGCATATTAAAGATGACTTGTGACAATGTTACACAGACATGGCAAACAGAAGGAGAATGCCAAGAATATGGTATATAACAAATGTATTCAATGTAAAAACAAACAAATGTAAATGTAATGGAAATTATAAAAAATGAAATATCTTAACAATTTAATGTAAACATTCATGATGTATAGAATAAAAGAGAATATGAATACAACGAAGTTATGGCGTTATATTGATTATAGTTTGTTTTTGTATTATAACACAACAAACGGGAAAAGAGTTTTTGTGAGCAAAGAATAATGTTGAATTAGAAATTGATATTAAAGAAGAAGAAGAAGAAGAAGAGAATAACTTTTATTAGTACTAAAGCCCTAAAAAAGCCATTAACAAAGCATTAAAATATATATACATACAAAAAATAGAAGCATGGCAATACTTGACAAGAAGTAGAGATGGCATGTGTATTCATGAGATATAATTCTTTGGTCATACACTTTTTGCTGAATCACTGTGTCTTATAACACTACCAAACCAAAAAGCTACAGGGAACAAGATTAAACGAAGCGTGGTTTCACATGACATCTTGCTTGGGAGAGGCAGAATCATATTAATATATATATTATAAATTAATTATCTGCATTCAATTTGTTTGTCTTTCAGGCTATCCATTAGTTATCACTGAAATAAAACTGTCAGGGGGAAATTCAACTTCAAATGGTAGGGTGGAAATCAAATCTATGGACACTTGGGGAACAGTATGTGACCATGGTTTCGGTAAAAATGAAGCCGATACAATATGCACAATGATTGGCTTCCCGTAAGAAACGCTATCCTTTTCTTAATTGAATATCAAATACATACAGTTGAATATCAACAAAGGATTGATTCAATGCTTGACTACATCGCCTTCGAGAATGATCTATATCCGTTTCTATGCTTTGTAGAAACACAAGTACTTGAAGTCCTCTTAAAGATATACACACTTATAATTATATTTTTTATTATTTCTCTTCCTGCTAACAATTTACTTAAACAACATCATATAGGTGTAGAAGCTTGAAAGTCAAACGAAATGTAAGTATTCATTATTTTGTCATTTGAATCAAATGTGTAGCTTCATGAAGAAAAACGAATCAATATAAGCAAATATTTGTTTCCAGTCCTGCTGCCTCATTCCACCACGGCGCCTACTTTGGCGAAGGTTCTGGTCCAATATTTGTTGATGATTTACAATGTGCAGATAATTCTACACATATCAACAATTGTAGTTACGTCACCTATGATAATTGCTTTCACTTCAACGATGTTTCTGTTGTTTGCACAGGTAAATTAAAAAGCAATTCGAAATTTCATAATTAAAAATATGTCTGGCTAAACGAAAACAATTTAACATATTTTTACCAAGAGTATGCAAGTAATTATTTAAACAATCATCACGTACCGTTTTCCAAAGCAATTTCCCAATTGTAGACAAGTATAAGGGTTCGGAAAAAAGTAGATCCTTCCAGAAGAAACAAACCTTGTAAGAAATTTATGTATACACTATAAACATGTTTTGTTAAGTTCATAATGCCGAGCTTTTGCCTTAATTATATATTCTTGTATTTATTTCCGTTTTCATGGTTTTGATGTAGTTGATCAATTGATATGACAAGAAAGGCAAATAAAAGTCAGATTGAATAATGTTGTTAACTGTCTTTCAAAACAATTTGCCATTCGTTCATTTTTGTGTAGGTACAAATATACTCATTTTACTTTATTTGATTGTGTCTTTTCATGGAAAAGTGTACATTAACATTTTTTTACTTTTATGTGAAATGAATTAATTTAAAACATTGGTATGTATTGCAATGAGCTATCATAAAAAACTTTATAGAAATTTGAATTTAATAGTGTCATACTTGCATAGATTATAATGAAACATTTAAATAAAGATTTAATTTCCAGAATGCCCCTCGCCAAAGCCTACAAATGGAAGCATAAATTCCTCATCTACTCATTACCTTGCTGCTGTGACGGTCACGTGTGCCGACGGATACAATTTGATTGGTGATTCTGAAATACGTTGTGAACTTAATGCGACATGGAGTAGCAGTCCAACTTGCAAATTGATAGGTATGCCACTACATAATTAGCTATCTATCGAATTCGTCGTCGTTTTTATCAGTAACATACCACAGAAGTTAAATGATCTAGATATTCTTCTTTGAAACGAATTTATATAGGAGAAGTATCATGTAAAAAAAAACTACTAAAAGCGTTTTAATGATTTAAAATAAAAATAGGGCCCATAAAAAAGATTCAAGGCCGTAGCAAGTCCACAAAACATTATTAAAATTTAAAAACCCTTCAAGCTTTAAAAGACTGCAAAAAGGGGAAATTTAAACAAAAAAAAATTCATGTTTCCTTAATTTTTCCTTTAAAGACTGCAGGCCCCAAAAACCCTTTTTTTTGGATCTATTAACCAACATCTACCACACGGAATTGTTCCCTGGTTTCATAAAAAAGGATATAAATCAAGGGAAACTGATAAGTGTCAACCTAGTGAGGAATGGACGAAAACCCCCTGGCATATAAAGGTATAATCTTTGAATGTTTTTCTTCTCTTTTTTATTTTACTTTTGTTGACATTTAAAATCAGATATTTTTTGCAATAAAAAAATTAATTTTTGTGAAAAAACATTTTTTTTAGATTGAAAAAAAGATGTATGTAAATGAAATAGCATAGACACTATCTCAGTATATTATTATAATTGGAGCAATATAGATTTTATTTTTTGATGATTTTAATAAGGTAGTGGGTTTTATCTCATGTCTCTGTGTTTGGAATGATTGAACATTTTTATTTCAGATTGTGGTATACCAAATCTTGTCAATGCAGAGGCGACACTTTCCGAGAATAAAACAACATATGGAGAAACTGCTGTTGTTTCTTGTTATGATGGGTATCAACCAGGTGGTAGTTATCTTGTTTCCTGTTTAGCTAATGGAACTTGGAAAACCTGGCCTGAATGCACAAGTGTTGGTAATGATATTAGTAAAGGTTCTGGAAAAAAATAATTCGGTCTTTGAATTTAACTTGATCTATTTACTTATCTGGTTATGAATCAGAAGACGCTTTTTCTGCCAAGAATGTTGCTGTAATGGACATTTACTTTTCAGATTAATAGAAGTAAAATTCAATAAGGTAAAATAGAAACTTCTTTTAAAATGTCAATCATAAAACTAATCTAAATGAAATTTATACGTTTTCAGAACATTTATTTGACGATGCATTTTTTCATCTTTGAAACAAATGTAAATGTTTTAAAACTGATTCAGAATTAAAAATAGATTTCAAACTAATGCGTCTGATAGAGGGCGACCCGAGTATTGATGGGCAAGAAATAATAGTAAGTTTTGGTTCGATGCAAATGTTGCTACAGGCCATGGACTGTATTCTTAAATTTTTATTGATGAGAAACAAGGAATAAAATTAAAGTGTAAATTTGTTGTGTTGATTGAACTTGTATATCATTCTTAGATTGCGGGGACCCAACACCCAACCAAGGAAAATCAAATGTCACAGTGTTCACTTATGGCACTGTTGCTAAAATTGAGTGTGAACCAGGTTTCAATATATATGGTGATTCCATGATTATTTGTCAGTCCGATGGAACATGGAGTGATTATCCAGTTTGCGATACATCGGGTGAGTGTCAATTTTGTGAATGTCATTCTCAGTTTGAATAGGAATATTGTGTATAAGATAATACGAGTACAATTTTGGTAGCAAAACACATCTTGAACACGCTTTTGTCCAATGGATGAGAAGTTGAATCATTTTAATGATGAACAACATATCAAGTTGTTTTGAAAATTAAGTTTGTTCCAACCTTTAATAATTGGAAAGATACTGGCATTCATACGACATGCTCATCTCGACAGTTTTAGTCATTGCATTAGACATAAAAAGACTAAACTGTCACTAGACTTTACCTTTGATATTACTGCTGTATGGACGGAACAGATTCAGTATAGTTTAAAAGGGCGTGTCTACTCCCTTCGTGAAAACTTTTAACAGGTTCTTTATTTTAGCTCATGTGAAAGGTATTTTGTAGAATTTTCATTTAATAAATTTAAAAATATTTTTTGCCAATTTAAATTTTTTACGACAAAACTGCGATTTTCTCAGACTGCTTTTTTGTAAAATGGGTTTCGATTCTTGGCAAACTATTGGTTCAAACGTCGGTGATTGCAAAATGGGTTAAAATTGATTGGTCCGGGTCAAAACTTGTACAGAAAAAAGGGTGGGAAGAAAAGTTGCGTGTCGATAAAAAGGGATAAAGGAAATTTTTTTATATTAAAAGTGTTTTCGAAAAAATGGGAATGTTTATAAATTAAAAGGAAAAAGCTTTTTGTTTATATAATTTTCAATTTTTCTATATTTGTTTTATTTTGGTAAAATGAGTATATAAAATTGTCTTCAATGAATACTTTTTATTTTCGTTATTGTTCTTCTTTTGATTGGGTTTTACGTCGCACCAACACAGTATATGTCATATGCCGACTTTCCAGCTTGACTGGTTGAAGAAGACCTCGGGTGCTCCTCTGTCAGAAAAGCAGACACCTGAGAAGAGCCACTAACGGTCGGTAAGCTAGCTGGATAGCTTTCTCATGTAAAGACATTATTATTGGTCTCAAGACAATGAACCTCAGACAACAGTAAACAACAGTGCATATTAAGCAATTGTTTTAATACTATGTTTTAATAATGACATTTTGTCCTAATCAATAAAATAAAAGCTTTAAATTGACTTTTAACTATTTACATTTAAAACAATAATGTAATTTATAATATCTATTTTTTCAAGATTGTGGAAATTTTCTTTAGCAAAAGGAGAAGTGGGTTAAATTCAAGTATTTGTTTGGAGCTTGTGGGGGTGTCATGTGACCCGGATATGATTAAATACGAATGTGATAATTGCTTTCAAATGGGCAATGGTTTTAAATT